CAGTTTATGATGAAGGGAGTGGCTTGATGAAGGAGAGGGGCTTGTGCTGCTCAAAGTTTGTGATAATATTTGTTTCATGGATGTATTTTACATGTTGATAAAAAAAATTATTTTACCATTTTATGATTTCAGAATTCTTTTCAGAGCAGCTTTAATTTTTGTTGGTGTATAAATGAGGTTCTGAATATATTTAAAAATAATAATTGGAACATATTATTTATTTTGGGTTTAGTATAATTTAATTAATACTATTTTCAAATGAGACAAGTTGAATTTGCTTCAGTTGGTATGGTACCATTACGTTACATCGTGGGATAAACTTGTTTCATAATTCTTTTTTTATTTTATTTTCATGAAAATGCATTTGTTGATGTTGTTGCCATAATACTGTTAGTACTGTTGTGACAGGATAACTCTGAGTGTTGCCTTGAACTCATGAGCAGATATTACCTCCCCTTTCCCTTACAACTTTTTTTTTTTGTTTATGGTATATCAAAATGAACCCATATTCCAATGTCAATACATGAAACTGTGAACCCCAGTAATATCAGCTACAATCTCAAAAAGTGCACTTTTCATCAGTCTAGGTAAGTTAAAGTACCAAATTTGTTCAAAATGGAACCTATCAAATTAAAGACGGATTGATGACCCATAACCTGTTAATGTGAATAGTACAAATAGCTTTTTTTTTTGTGCCATATGCCAGGTACTTGTAGTTCATAAAACTGATAAGGTGATTTATTTTTAAGGAAAACTGCTATTTTCTTTTCTAGGCATTGTTAATTGATTACTCATGACCCTCTAGACACTGTTGATTACTCGCAACCCTCTAAACACTGTTTACTGTAAACTCACCACCCCCTAGACACTGTTTATTGATTACTCACGACCCTCTAGACACTGTTTATTGATTACTCACGACCCTCTAGAAATTTTTTATTAATACTCACGACCCTTTAGACACTGTTTATTGATAACTTATGACCCTCTAGACACTGTTATTAACAACTCACGACCCTCTAGACATTTTTATTGATAACTCACAACCGTTGCCTCTTTATTTCACCAAAGCTATTAGTTTTATGCACATGGCATTCCTATTAAAACTTGTATATTTGGCAAAATAAAATTAGATTGAAAGATGTTGAAAATACCTTCTGCTAACTCTTATCTTTTGACAGTAAATTGAAACTATAATGAACTTAAAGAAAAAAATAGTTTAAAATTTCTTGAATTTGGAAGTATTTGTATGAAATTGGCTTTTTAAATAAATCACATCAGGGAAACACAATAGGCCTATCTGGCCAAAGCTTTTGAAATGCTATGTGGCTCTGAACAAGGTTGATTCATTTTTTTTTTAAAGGTATTTTTGTATATTACTGATTTTGTAACTAAATATTTTATGGTGGCAGATATTTGGCAACTATTATTTGAACAGTAAAGACCATTCATTTACTGACAAAATCTCTTATATGTGTTACAATTTGAAGATTGCTCATTGAGAATTGCTCTAATAATGTTTCCCTTTACATTGATGTTATCACCTTTCAAATGTGTTTTATTCATATTTTTTTTTAATGTATTATTTTATTCATTTTAAATTCTTTTACTGTGAATGGACTGTGATTGTGCACATGTGACATTGAAACCTTGCACACCAACAACTTGTTTAGCCTCTCTATCATGAAATGGAATTGTTCTCTTACAAATTATTACAATTATTATTTAATTTTAAATATTGTTTTAAAACATCATCTCACATTTCTGTTCATATGTATGACATACGTTTAAAAAAAAAAAATTACCTCAATTGTATCTGGAGTCCTGAGATAAGTCAGAACTTTAGTGTCCCGTGTACTACATATGAATGTTGTGATTATCATAGACTGTTTTACATATTAAAACAAATAGTAACAAACAAGGATTTGATGACTTCACATTTTTTAATAGAGCTAAATGTTTTTAATATTGTTAGTTTTATTTGCTAATATTCATGCCTTTCTAATCTAGTTCTAATCTATATCTTACCTATTCATCTTTTGTGTAATTTTGTGTAATAATAATAATAATAAAGTTCATTTAAAAAATACGCTTAATCCCCAAAGGCTCGAAGCACGGTACAAAGTCAACAAAAAACAAATCTATAATTTACCACATTTAAAACAAACGCAACACTACAAAAACTAATTACAAGCATACAATGGCAAAGTCTTTCTAGCCATTTCAACCCTAAGCAACACAGCCATTATGCATTAACTGGAAAATAAGGTAGACAATCATCCCAGAAGGTGTTTGCGAAATAGATGTGTCTTTAAATCGGTTTTAAAGGACTCCAGTGTTTGGTTGTTTCTGAGATCGACAGGAAGGGCGTTCCAAATTGTTGGAACAGCAAATGCGAAAGTGCGCTTTCCGTAAGTCTCAAGTCTCAACACGTGGTGTCGAGAGTTTGCCACTATCGGATGAGCGGAGCTCTCTAGTGGGTACATAAGGCGTCAGCAGCTCTTTCAGATAGGATGGCGCCAGGTCATGTAAGCAGCGGTAGCACAAAGTTGTATAACTACAATCTATAAAAATAATAATTCCCAAGTGGGCGATGTCCATCCCACTCTAGAAAGGTAATACAGTTTAACCCCTTTTAAATAGTTTTTCTCCCCCAACTAAAGCTTTTGCATTTAAAGATGACATGATTTCAATTTTTTAAACACATTATCCCTTATTTTGCAATTTGCTATTAGCGATGCCCAGTGTTATTACAGTTTTCGAGTGGATGAATCTGGAATTATAATTATAGTTTATGCACCTCTGCCTGTATTTTACACATGCAACACGGTTGAGTTTCCCCAGATGGTGGAGATAATAAATCAATTAAAGGTATACTTTATTAACATAATGATCTCATTACAAAAATATTTACTTTGGAAAATATGTATGATGCATGAATTCCTAACACCTTACCCACTGGAAAAATACAACCACAAGGGTTATTTGGATATGACTACAGTGTAAAAAAAACACTTTAAAATACAACCCTGTGAGGGTCATTTACATATTAGCATAGTGTCAAACACATGTCAAACACATTTACTGCTAGAAAACAATTTTAATTATAAGTGGATATGAGTGATTATTTTATATCATCAACATTTTATTTCTATTTAATGAAATAAACAATATGGAGCCCACTCTGTGATAGCAAAGTAAACATGTGCCTGGGTCGCCAAAAAGTGTCACACATGTTTGGGTGGCCAAAAAGTGTCACTCATGTCTGGGTGGGACAGTAAGAAGTGTCCCATTACAAAGGCGTCACAAGGGTTTGTGTCTCCAAGTGCGATGAACTCTTAAGTGTCGGTTATAAATGTTAAAACTTCAAATATTAACCAATTTTGGCTTTATCACTGGGGTCGGAGCCTTGGGCAAAAATATTGAAGATATAGAACGATGACAATTATTATTTAATAACAGACATTTGAATTTAATTTAAATAAAAAGGTGCTATAACAAGTGGTCAGCAATTTCTTTAACTTTAAAGAAGAAATGCAGATTTTTTCATTAGCCAGTATTTATTTGTTGTTTTTTTACTATAAAAGGGAATAAATAATTTATAAACTATATTTTTTTTAATGTAGTTTCTAAATTCAAAGTTCCAGAAGTAAAATATTGCTCCAGGTGTCATTTGCACATTAGATTTCCTCCCTGCCTGCAGTCCTGCAGCTCCCTAAATATTTTATTTGCAGATATAATTTACTATTTTTAAAAAAAAAAATTAAAAGTTGTAGAAGAGACACACTACAATAAACAAGTTTCATTAAATAATTTTGCTAACGTCTGTTTTTAAAGTTATAAACAGTTGATCCAACTGTTAGATATTATCTTTTAAATTTAATTGATATGAATAGGTGCAATCATTTCTTTTTAAATTCATTCAGATTTATTTAAGTTATGCTTACAAAGGAATCATTGGATGCAAACTATCTAAGCACAACATAATGTGCATTTTCATTTAATGCAAATATAGACTCCTAGGCCTAGGCCTAGACAGTCTTAATATATATATTTTTTTTTTTTAAATTACCACTTATTGTATTCACTAACTTAAAATTGATCAAAGGCGTAAGGCCTACTTAGGCTACTAAAACACTTCAATAACATAAAATGAAATATTTAACTTAATTTAATGGGCGGGACATCCATACATGACGTCTTTCATCTAAATTAGAAGTATGTGTTTGTGTGTTGGGAAGAGGGTGTCAAGAATTTGTGACGTTGTATTATGGGGGTGTCTAAATTGTGTGGCAAACTCGACAAATTCAACGGCATTCATTCATGGCCCCTAAGTTCACTCTAACTAAGTAAGAGGGAATTGTAATATCCAATAAATAGGTCTAGGCCAAGCGAATGGGCTTCAATTTCATTGGGGCGATGGCCCCTGCCGTCAAAATCGGGGGCGCCAAAATCGTAAATCATCCATAAATAATATATAGCCATTATAATATAGGCATAGGCCATAAATCCTATCAAAATTATGTAATTATTGATAAAACTAGGCGGGGGAGAGGCAGATTTTTCTTCGCACGGCCCTGGTCTATGCTCATTTGTATCAAATCAATTCTCGATCGAAACTCATTTGACAAAATTTAATAGTAGTGATAGTTAATAGTAGAGACTGCGCTCAAGCCGTTTGAAATACTAAAAACACGATCATTTAACATTTAGCGGTTCTGAACCGGGTTCAGTAGCAGCTAAAAATCAAATGAATATAACTAACATGAAGCAGTCCAACAACTTAAAGTTTAAAACTTTTTTTTAAGCTCTTAACCTTTTAGAAAGAGCCAAAATTCCAACACATCTAAATCTAAATAAAAGCGAAATGAAAATAATCGCAACCCTTTTTCTTTTTAAAATGAAGATCGATATTTAAATTTTTATTTAGATTTTTACGTCCCCTTGAACGTAAAAGCTTTTAATAATTTCCTTGTATTTGAGAGCTACCGGAAATCGTTCTCTTATTATCAGAAGTAGCTTCGACTTTCATTTTCTAACTGACAACAGCATGGCACCTAAAAGAAGAAAAGGATTTGGTGGTGGGGGAAAACCTAAACACAAACGGAAAAAGCTTAATTTGATGACAATTCGTCAGAAAAAGGATATTAGAGAATTTGGTGAAATTCATCCCGTGGAAAACACGTAGGTTTAATTAAGTTTTGTTTCCTACCTTTTTATTTTGAAAAAAACAAAAAGTTTTTTAAAGTCTTTAATTTTTAACTTTACTTTACTACTTTACATTGCATTTTTATTTGATTACATTCACTTGACTTACTACACTGCTGACACTTCTCTAACTAACTAAATAGTTCAGTGTGAGTGTAACACTTGTGTAACAGACTAACCAGTATCACTTTAAATAACAGTAACACTGAGTAACAGTATCACAGTAAAATTAATAATTGACATGGGAAATTTACTCTATCCGCACCACTCAATTGGTGTTTTTGCACTACTCACCCTCCCCCCCCCCCCCCCCCCCCATCTTTGTTGACATGATGTAAAATAAAAAGTAATGCAAAAACATGTCTTCTAAAATCGGGAGGAAAAAGGGAGAGAATGTGTTCTTTCATCTGCCTAGCCTAAAGAAATGAAAATATTTATAAGGCAAGGCATTTCTTCAGGATATTTTTTTAATGCAAAAAAAACATTCAAATTAAAATTAAGAGGTTTTTTTTAAACTTGCATTTCATAAAAATGATAATATAAAAGAAAATTTGATAAATAATTGGAAGAAGTGAAAAAATAAAAACGTAAAAAGATAAGCAAAAAACAAACAAATTTAATTAAATAATTTTGTCCAGTATATTAATTTTGTGGTGATTGATCGTAGCAACTTTATTGTATCCTTCTAGATATGCTGCAAGAAGTGTTAAGTGTCAACAAATTTGGGACCATCTATAATGCAAATTTTACCCCCTGCCGCCGCCCAGTGTGTCACAAAAAGTTAGACCCCCCCCCCTCTCTGATATAATGTCATTTATGTGTGGCCCCTTTTCACAACTGCAATAACTTCGGATTTAAAACAAAATTTTCCCCCCGCCCCCGCCCCGTGTGTCACAAAAAATTAGACCCCCCCCCCCCCCCTCTTATATAATGTCATTTATGTGTGGCCCCTTTTCACAACTGCAATAACTTCGGATTTAAAGAAATAGTCATCCACTTAATAATAATAAAGTTTATTTGAAAATCACGCTTCATTCCCAAAGGCTCGAAGCGCACTAAATCATATCGATGGATTTACAGACTTAAAGATTGAGACAACGCCTTTGTCAGTGAACTTTAAAAGAGAATACACTCGGTGAGACAGATACCCCTTCCTTGATCAAGATACGATAAGAAATATGCAATATCTCAAGTCATGGCAAAGCTCCAAGTGTAGATTCCATCCCAGTTGAATTCTACAAAGAAGGGGCTGCAGTTCTGCAAGGCCCAACCATCTGTTCCTACTAATGTGGTAGCAATTTATACGTTCCGGCAGGATTTCAGAGATACGGTACCGCTATTGTTTACTGCGCTCTGGTGTTCTTAAATCTAATCCTTCTATGCAGCTGATGAGATCTCGCAGAACTGGGTGATGTTGTCCTATTGCTTTATCCACATACACTGATTGATTGTTATTAGTGAAAAGTTTAGCTACTAAACAATATCTAACTATCCAGGAATAACAAATTTGAGAGAAACATTGCAAAATGAGAAAATGTGGAGAGATTTCACTGCTTCTTGTTCAAGGGACTTGTGAACCGGAAGTATGCACAATTCCTCTTACCCCCTGCTGAAATGTGTTTTCTGAAGAAGGTTATATACCGGCACATTATTTCCTTAGTTTTAAAACTATCTATGTACCATTTTCCTGTGTGTGACATTTTTAGGCTTTGAGTAATTGCTGTGGTTATAAAATAAGATAATAATTGATGGACTGCATTCAAGTTGTGTAAATGAAATATAAGAGCAAGGTATGCTAAACATGAACAAATAGACGGGACAAAAGATTTGGACGTTTCCGCTTAAAGCCTTCAACAGCAAACAAAAAAAATAGAAGTAAAACAAGTAACAAAGCACAGTGAAAAAACTATGGAGGTCTTCTATGTAGTTGTTGGAAGTAGGATTGCAGGAAGTGAAAGAATATAAATATTGGTACTGTGAAAAATAAGGGTACAGAATCTTAGCGGACCAAAATATTTAGGGATATTTAAAATCTAAGCAAAGAAGAAATACGGGTAAATTTAGAGACATTAGTAGGAGAGTATTTGATTCATACAATGTGGAGATATGGTGCCGTAAATCTGAATAAATTTGTTTTCCATTTTAACTCTCTTTGGAGTGTTTGTGCAAGAAATGAGTGGCGTAATGGATCCATCCAATGCACCTTTAAGTTGCTCTCTGTTGAAGTGTGAAGAGGCTGGGGAAAGTTTACCTTGTTCAATATCTCAAAGATGTTCTGTGAACCTGTCTGCCAATCTTCTCCCAGTTTTGCCTATATAACTAGAATCTTATCTTATTCTGCCTGGGGCAAAATCCAAAAATCGCAGGCTGCCTCCCTACACTTAAATACTTTATTACGTTTTTTTAACATGAAAAAAAGCACCCCTGGAGGGTAACCCCCTTGGTATGCCACCTCACACTTTTTTCACGTTTCTAAACTTTATTAACATTCTCATGTCCCATCCCCTTAAAACTAAATTTCCCTTTTTTAAATATTTTGTATATTTTTCTCTCCTCATCCTCATGTCCCTTAGTCCTTGGACCGTTGGGGCGCCACAGATGACATGTGAACCATCCTCCTCCATTCCTCTCTGTCTTCAGCACTACGCACTGCATCGCTCAGTGTTAGTCCTGTCCACTCTTTGATGTTATCCTCCCACCTTTTTCTTTGACTTCCTCTTCTTCTCCCTCCTCTTGTGGTGCCCTGCAATATTTCTTTGGCAAGCCCTTGTTTCCTTGTTACGTGCCCATACCATTCATTGTAATTTGCGTTTTTTCACAGTCACCAGTAGGTCATCGGACTCCCCAATTGCCTGACGAACCCTTTCTTTCACTGTATCATTGGAGATATGGTCCCTATAGCAGATGCCAAAAATGCTTCTGAAGCATCTCATCTCCATCGCCTTTATTTTCCTTTCAAGATCGGCTGTTAATGTCCAGGATTCGAAGCATACAGGAAAATGGAGAGGACTAATGAGTGCATCAGCCTGATTTTGGTGGGGGGGGCTATATTTTTGTCATTCCATATTTTCTTGAGCTTTTTTAGTGCTGTTGTAGTCTGCGCAATCCTGGACATTAAGTATTTCAAATACCAAATAAGGATGCCAAATTTCATATCTGTAACCTAGTTGGGTTTCAAAATATTGAGCATAATTTTATCCTACCATCAATTACTACAAATATTATGAGATACATAAACTCTGACAAAATTGGCTTAATTCTATGCAGTGTGTTTAGCCTCAATATTCTGAGCCAGTTAACTAGAAATATTGGGAGGAAAAGACGAGCTGAGAAGAACAAAATAAGCATGCAATTTGGGAAACTTCAATATAGTAAGGTACCTGAGATAAAATTTCGTTTGATGGCATGAGGTGGCATAGCATGGGCAATGAGGCAGCTGGGGGATAATATTGGCTTACACTAACACAACAAAAAGTATGTTTTAGCCCTCTTCTGCTAACAAAAAAATAATCAGTTACAAATGTATCAAGAGGTGCAGGGTGGCCGAGCAGTCTAAACTGTCTCAAACCAAATAGCCGGTGGTCCTGAGTTCAATCCCCATCAAAGCCAACATCCCAAGCACCCCGGGTGGATGGGACTCGTTAGCCTTGGACGGCAACCCATCTAAGAAAAGGCAAACTCTGAATTAAAACTAGGAGCCAGTTTAGAATGATTTTGACAAATTGATCGTGGGCCCCTCAAATATAAGAAGAAGAAGAAGAAGTGTTTGCTTTTTTTAAAATAGCAATACAACTTACAGAAGTTAGTACTCAAGGGAAGATACGCTTTATATAAAAATTACCGGTATCTTTAAATACCACCATTGTGATTTTATGCATATTATTGTAATTACAGTTTATATCTTTGGTCTAAGCTCAAGAAATCTCTTTAATATTTAAATTAGAAGCCACACCTTGGGATTTATTTTGCCTGAAAGACAGGGTTTTGTTAGGTCATTCAGTAAATCCACCACTGGGATTATATCTTTGAAATTATCATGTGTTTGCACTCTACTTTTTCCTTGGCATGATATATGGTCAGATTAAGGCATATGGGGCTCTGGGTACAGTCAACATAGAATCACATAGCTGTCTATGCATTGTCCATAAGTGATTGGTGCCCCTTGAGCCCCATTCTAGGCTAAAAGATTGAATACGTGGGTAAGCTCATATGTTAGGGATAGCGCTATTTCAAGGTTTGTTATTTCCACAGGTTTCACTTGCAAGAAACACCATTATATTCTTGGGAGCGGGGCGGGCCTCAAAAACTGCCCCCAAATGGCACAATGCGTTTGAGTAAAATAGTCAGTTTTAGATTTAGCTGATAAGTAAATTTATTTTCATATTAATAATATTAATGCATAGAAGATAGTAAAGAATGGCAGCCAATCTCCTTTTATACAATATTTTAACTCTCTCATTCAGATACATGCTTAAAATAATTATTATGTTAAATTGATTTCCAATTTTTAACAATAAATACTTTTAAGATACTTTAAATACTTATATAGACCATAACACAATGACATAGGCTTATTCTTTATTAAAATTGATTTTAAATATTCAATATTGCCAAGGCCTAATAATTTTTAATCATCCTATCCACCATGCCATTTAAGTCATCCTTATAATGGGAGATGATCAGTATATAACTAAATATGCTATAATTTGATGATTGGTTATATACCTACAACATCTAACACTAAAATATAAGATTATTTGGTCAGCAGTGGATCTTGTAAGACATCTTTGAGGATCTTGTAAGCTATCTTTCTGGATCTTGTCAGCTACCTTTGTGTTTCTTGTAAGGAACCTTTGTGGATCTTGCCAGCTACCTTTGTGGATCTTGTCAGCTACCTTTGTGAAGGATAAACCTCCTCCCCTCAGTCAGACATTCCATGTTCTTTTTATAAATCCCTAAGGGTAACATAATAAGAGTACCTGTAAATAACAATGAAAACGTTCACCCTTTTTTTTTCAGGGACAGTGTAAAGAAATACACAAGTGTAAAAGATACCATTGATAAAAACAAAGTATGTAAAAGTCCAACCGGAGGGTGTGTTTTTTGTCAGGAAATGTATTGTACCAGTATTTTAAACAATTTAATGTCTTATATTTATCAGAATAATGAGAGTAGCGCAATACACAGTGGGGATTAAAATAATTCAGCAATTATTGAGATTAAAAAAACAAAAAGGATTTTTTCAATCATTATTTCAGGTACCGGTAAATGATTTGAGCTCAGATGAAAGTGATGAGGAAGAAATACCAGTCATCAAACAGCTTTTAGCTGAGATAGGAGTCCAAGAAGAAGAACCTGACTCTGAAAAAGAGTCTGATGAAGAGGAGGAAGAGGAGGTCAGTGACACTCAAGAGATAGATCATGAAAATGACTTGTCAACAGATGAAAGTGATGAAGATGTAGAGGCTGTTGAAGAAGATATTTCACAAGATAATTCAAAGCTCAAAGAGGCAGAAATATTTTCTGATGAAGAGAAAACCTCTGACCCCATAATTAAGGCGGTGCATTCAGGTTTGTGGTCTAAACTCTCCCTCTTTCATTATTTATTTAATGAGGTGAAAGCTAACCTACTCTCAACAATACCCTTTCGTTGAACTGAAAAATTTTTAAGTTTTTACTAATCCCTGATAGAACACAAACACACAAATGTTTCGATATTAGTATTAAATTATAATAAAAAATTATTAATTTTTTTAAATTGAAAAACTTTATTGAATTCATCCTGTTGTAAAATTCCAGATGATGAGGGGAACAGTACCGGTGGTAAAGAAAAAGATGGAGCTATGGTGGCCTTGGAGGAAGATGAAGAAGAGGAAGATAATGAAGAGAATGGAGAATTGAGCTTAAAGGAATCGGGTGAATGATTTTTTAAAAATTGTAACATATCCAACATGTACAGAGCATACTGCTATCAACTGTAGCTATCAAAAATAACATGTATCATCTGCTTTTTTATTACAATTATTGCAATTCTATATCAAGTTTCCTGAATTTAATCTATTGTAAATCTTAGAGGTAACTCCAGTGTTAAATATCCAGTCCAAAGTGAGAGACAGTTGCTCAATTTGTCAGCCTCACGATCATCTCCTTGCCTGTTGGTTGCCATGGATATAGACCAGAATGAAGCAGAGGACCAGCGGTGTTTCTTGTGTGTTTCACTGGGTTTTATGCGTTCTACGTTGCAGGAGTTGTCTGCATTTTTATTGCATCAGTGTCATGCAGCCTATGGGACTGCATCTCCGGGGTTTGATTTCAGAGTCTGCCTTCTCTTAGATGAGATGCCATCCAAGGTTAATGGGTCCCACCCACTTGGGGATGATGATGTTGTTTTTGCTGGGGATCGAACTCTTAGTCTGTAAATCCCAAATCTAAAATCACTTTATACCACATGAAAGAGAATTTATTTATTTATTTAGGCATTTTTTTTATAGCGCTTACCTTACAGCTCTAAGCGCTTTACAATTATTAAAAATATGTAAACTATAAACTGCTCAAGTAAAATAAAAAGGAAAAAAACCAGAGACACTAGAATAGTAACTACAAGGACTCGTCTTAACTGTACTTTGTAGCACATGAAAGAGTACTAGGACTCATCTTAACTGTACTTTGTAGCACTTGAAAGAGTACTAGGTTCGTGTTAACTGTACTTTATACATATAATTTTAAAAAAATAATGTTTAAAATGTTTCTCTTAAAGATCCATTCACCAAGCATTTTGAGCAGGACAGAGACATTTCTGCTTTAGTCGAAGATGTTTCCATCAAGTGGCAAAAGAATGAAATTAAGGTAAATTATGGTTGCACTACAAAGAAAGTTGGTCATAAAAATAAAGTCTGATTATCCAATTATCTGCCAATTTAACTTAGCTGAGCACTGTGCAACCCTTATATATGTTGTAGTTTCATGGTAAAATGTCAGTATTTACTTTTAAAATTTTGCTTTTTAATTTGCTACAGTTATATTTTTAGCACTTCTTCATCCGTCTGTGGGAACAACATTTTATCATTTGTCTGTTGGGAAACATATGAACAATATTTCTTCATTTATCTATGAGAAACTTATGAACAATATTTCTTCATTTATCTATGAGAAACTTATGAACAATATTCTAAGTAGAAAGTTTATGACTAAGTGTTTTTATGTCCTTTAGCTGCCTGGTCTAGGAGACAGCATTCTTTTGTACAAAGACTCAGATTATCTTCCTGAACCGGACACACATACAGATCTTAAGAAGCTCCATGTAAGTTAAGATACTCCATTTCATTTATAATCACATTGGAGAATATTTTTTCATTTGTTGAATAGAAGTGATGCATTTGTAAAATGATTGGGTTTGGAGATGTTTTTTTTTTGTTGAGGTATGGCTAAACGTATGTAAATGTACACCTTGGTTTGTCAATGCCCTTGATTTATATTTTCTTAATTGGTATAACATATATTTATTTTTTTTAAAGAAAATGTAACAGCTGTTTTTCACGACTTTCTATCATTTTATTTGAAGATATTGTCATCCATGTAAAAATGTACACACCCTATTCCCTACCCCTGCTATGTGTTTACCGAAGAAGGTTAATTATTGATCAAATGCACTGGTTGATTCTTAGATGTATTTTGTGCTGCCTGGGGCAAAATGAAAGGATCACATTTCCCCCCCCCCCCCCCCAGTTTTTAACAAACAATAAAATCCTCCATGGGATGATAGCCCCCTACATATGCAAACACACATTTTTTGCATGCCCCAACACACATTTTTTGCATGCCCTAAACACACATTTTTTGCACCTCAAACACACATTTTTTTGCACCCCCAAACACACATTTTTTTGCACCCCCAAACACACATTTTTTGCACGCCCCAAATACACAATTTTTTACATGCGCTAAACACACATTTTTTGCACCACCAAACACACATTTTTTGCACCCCCAAACACACATTTTTTGCACCCCCAAACACAAATTTTTTGCACGCCCCAAATACACATTTTTTGCATGTGCTAAACACACATTTTTTGCACCACCAAACACACATTTTTTGCACCCCCAAACACACATTTTTTGCACCCCCAAACATGCATTTTTTGCATTCCCAAACACATTTTTTACAGCCCCAAACACACATTTTTTGCAGCCACAAATACACATTTTTTGCACCCCCAAACACACATTTTTTGCACCCCCAAACACACATTTTTTGCACACCCCAAATACACATTTTTTGCATCCCCAAACACACATTTTTTGCACACCCCAAATACACATTTTTTGCACCCCCAAACACACATTTTTTGCACCCCCAAACACACATTTTTTGCACGCCCCTGAACTTTATTACAATTCTTAAGCCCTACATTGACCACACATTGTTTGACATGTTCTAAAGAAATAGTTTTACACATAATCATGTTGCCCTCCATTGAAAGGTTATTGTTATTGATTTGATCATTACAATCTACACCAAAGTTCACATCTGTAACCTCATTTCTTTTTGAGATATTGCTATCAAAACGAACCAATTGGGATAGGGTTTGTTCTTATTTTGATGAGCGATCAGTGAATTAGTGGCTGATGTTTGTCTATGAATATTCATTGCACTTAATGGTTTTAACAACATTTATTATTTTTAAAATTTTAAAGGTTAAGTTGTAATATTACTTTTTAAGAGAAGCCATATCTTTTATAACTTTTTCTTACATTTAAATATCCCATGGTTTAAAACTTTCAGTTTTTAGCTTTGCTGAAGTTGATTTGATACAATATTTATCATTGGTTTTATTGAAAGAAAACTTCTATTGTCTGTAATTGACGTGATTGGTTATCTATCATCCATCTTTCTTGGACAGGTCAAACATAAACTATGCAGTAGAGTAGCCTCCACTAACAGGGAGTTAGCTCAAGTCCATCCAAAAACAGCAAGTAAATAATCACAAATCTGCAGATACAAATTTTTAAAAAGTTTATAATACAGTGGTACCTTGGTATACATCCGCTTTGGAATAAGTCCAACTTGGTGTACATCCTGTTTGGACAAGAAACATTTTGCTGGGTATAAGACCTTCATTTGGAATACGTCCCGTGTGCGTGCTATTGAAGTAACCTCTGACACAGTAACCTCTAACCCTGAGAAAGTTTTGGAAAGATCACTTTACCATTGCCCATTCCATAACTCTCATTGACAAAGCCTGGCAGTAAGTTTCCAACAGAACAATGAAATCTGCTTCGAGGAATTTTTGCCCAGAAGTAGTGACTGAAAGGGACTTTGAGAGTGTGCATACAAAGGAGGATATTGTCTCTCTGGGCAGGTCCATGTGACTTGATGTGAATGAATTTGATGTGGAGGAGTTAGTGGAGGGGCACAGGGAAGAGCTGACCACTGAGGAGCTGCAGGAACATGAGAAGGATGAGCACAAGACTAGGAGGGATGCACTCTATTCAGGCTCTGAGGAGGGGGAGATAGAGGAAGCTTCTACCTCATTAATCGAAGAAATCTTTGCTAAATAGATGGATGTCAAAAACTTTGAGGAGAACTATTGAATTGAATATTTATATAGCCCTTGTCTCCATGCTACTTTAGCATGCTCACAGCGCTTGTCTCCAAGCTACTTTAGCATGCTCATAGCGCTTGTCTCCAAGCTACTTTAGCATGCTCACAGCGCTTGTCTCCAAGCTACTTTAGCATGCTCACAGTGCTTGTCTCCAAGCTACTTTAGCATGCTCACAGCACTTGTCTCCATGCTACTTTAGCATGCTCACAACGCTTGTATCCATGCTACTTTAGCATGCTCACAGCGCTTGTCTCCATGCTACTTTAGCATGCTCACAGCGCTTGTATCCATGCTACTTTAGCATGCTCACAGCCCTCTGATGTTCTTAAATCTATTTAAATAAAAAAAGTCTTCAAATGTTTCTTAAATGATTTTTATCATTGTCAATTTCACTCAAAGATTGGGACAAGCTGTTCCATAATTTTGGCACTATCGCTTCAAAAGAGCGCACTACATATGCATTTTTTCTGTGTCCATCCATACTGGGAACTCTCAGTAAGGACTGTGTTGAAGACAGCAGGTTCTTAAGGATACATGTTTATAAATCAGTTCTTACAAATATTCCGGTGCAGAGCCTTCTATACAGCTGTAAGCCAGAGACAGAATTTTGTAGTCAATGCGCTCACTCACAGGAAGCCAATGGAGATCCCTAAGAACTGGGGTGATGTCAGATTTCTTTATTCGCGATACAATGCGTGCTGCTGTATTCTGTACCTTCTACCCCAACAAAGCCCAAACGAGTCGTAATAGCATGTCATGAATGACCAGATGATGTCACATTTTTGAAACATCCTAAGGAGTCTGCAACATCCTGAGTTAAAGTCAAACCTGGTGAGCCTCAACCAGGGTCAACAAAGGAAAAGAGACAGAAAAAATAAAAAACAACAGAATGTCATATTCCTGAAGTTTTATTGGAAGCGGGCTCTCCTTCAAAACAATAACATATTCTCAGCACCATGTTAGTCAGCACTTGACTCTTCTCACCAAGGTAAAGTGAGATTAAATTTTCATTTATTTCCATAAGTTCTTTTTCTTTATGTATTTTAGTATTAAGCAGTGTTTTTTCATGAGAACAAATTAATCATTTTCCCTTTATTTCTTATGGGGAAAATATGTTTGGTATACGTCCTGTTCGGCATAAGTCCAAGGATCTGGAACGGATTAAGGATGTATGAAAAGGTACCACAGTATTATATTCATACAATATTAGTTTGACTGGTCTGATAATTTTAATTTTATGTGCACTGAATGACTGTTTCTTGTATGCAGGTATGATACTCATTTAACTCGTATTAGGCTTATTTTCTGTGCTTACAATGTTTTTACACAATGCAGACAAACTTCTCCCCCCCCCCCCCCCCCCCCCCCCCCCCCCCAACGAACCGCCTTTGACCCAAATCTGTTATTTGAAACTAACCACCCACCAGGTTTGACCCACCTGCAGCATAGATTGTTTTGTGCGATGAACTGCTATCAAGACCTTCTTTATCCTAAACAAACCTGCGACAACACGGAGGAGATTCGACTTGTATACTGTCTCCATGCTCTGAATCATGTGTTGAAGTAAGGCCTCTTCAAACCAGTTATTGTGTATTCAATGACTATTTTTTTATTTCTCTGTTACTTTTCTCCTTGAGATTAACAGTTTCTGCTGTCATCATTATAATATGGTTACTTCACAGTTAGTCCAGACATACATTTGTATTTTTTATTTTTTCCAACTTTCTTATGGAGTTATTCAATGTTACGATGATTTGCTCTGAATAGACTTATTTATTTGTCAATTAATGCTGTAATCTACAGAACAAGAAGTCGTGTTATAGCTCACAATGCTAAGTTAAAGAATAAGAAGAATGACCCAGATGACGAGTAAGTATTAGAAAAGTATTTTAATTTGTTGATGATTTCATGTGCATTAAGAAATAAATGTGATCCTCTTAATATCCCCTAATACAAATTTAGTTTTGAGAAATGTCTCATTTATCATTTATTGCTTATGGAGATTATTTTTTTAAAGAAACTCACGAAGTAAGACTTAAAGTAAGGTTTTTAAAATCATTGCATCCATATGTTCATGTGAGATAGATATGGATGCACTTTTGCTTTTCATTTTTAAAAAAAAATCATTAAATATTTCTAAATCTGAAATTGATATCGATTTTTTAACCAGATTTATCAATTTATAAAAAGATATTAAGCCATTATTTACTGTACTTTCTTTTCAGTGTGGAATATAGAGATCAAGGTCTTACCAGGCCAAAAGTTCTAATTCTCTTGCCCTACAGAGACAGAGCTCTGAAAGTTGTAAACATGATCATTAGTCTGCTATCAGCATCCCAGCAGGTCAGAATCACAATCAGTGTAAATATATATATATATATATATATGTGTGTGTGTGTGTACCATTCATATACATAGTGCCTCTCGTAAATCTCTGTATAATCGGAAGTGTTTCGTTGACATGTTCTCGTGCTTACATCAATGGTTGTGCTAAAAGAATGGGGGTAAATATTATCTAACACAACCATAAGTGTAAGACCCCTAAATACACTTTATTTAAAAATGGTAGCAAATATCAATCAATGTACCTGTACACGTTTTATGTGGCCCACCTTGTATGTATCAGTCTGTTGATACCATCCTGTATGTACCAGAGTTTGTTGATACCATTCTGTATGTACCAGAGTCAGTTGATACCATCCTGTATGTACCAGAGTTTGTTGATACCATCCTGTATGTACCAGAGTTTGTTGATACCATTCTGTATGTACCAGAGTCAGTTGATACCATCCTGTATGTACCAGAGTTTGTTGATACCATTCTGTATGTACCAGAGTTTGTTGATACAATCCTGTATGTACCAGAGTTTGTTGATACCATCCTGTATGTACCAGAGTTTGTTGATACCATCCTGTATGTACCAGAGTTTGTTGATACCATCCTGTATGTACCCGAGTTTGTTGATACCATTCTGTATGTACCAGAGTTGGGTGACACCATTCTGTATGTACCTGAGTTGGGTGATACCATCCTGTATGTACCAGAGTTGGGTGACACCATCCTGTATGTACCAGAGTTGGGTGATACCATCCTGTATGTACCAGAGTTGGGTGATACCATCCTGTATGTACCAGAGTTGGGTGACACCATCCTGTATGTACCAGAGTTGGGTGATACCATCCTGTATGTACCAGAGTTGGGTGACACCACCCTCGATATACCATTCTAGGGTGATAGAAGTCTGGAAATTTTGGTTGGCAAAAGTTTACTAGCTACAATTTAAATTTGTAGAATTCATCTCTACCATCAAAATTATAAGTGCTGATTTTTTTTTATATTTCCAGGCAAGTGTCAGCAACAAAAAGAGATTTGAACAAGAATATTCAGAATTAGAAAAAGGGAATTTATCAGAGAAAACATACAAGCCAGGTATGTAGTACAAATTTTGGCTGGACTGTTATTGAGTGGTCATTCAAGAAATGCTGGGGTAAAGCTTGTTTGAAATGACCATTTAAAGATACTTTTTAAAAAGAATTTAAATTTATAATAGAAATTATGGGAGATAACTAAAGCTCATTAAATTTGTTCAATTCAATACCAGGCTCAATATTAGGTTAGTTTAAAAAGAAGAGAGATAAGAATCTTATAAGCAGCAACAGTTGATGAGAAAAGAAAGAGAAAAAAACTGACAGCAGGAAATGCAAAATGTACTTGTCAAATAATGGCATATCTTCTCTGTACAGAGGACTTCAGGAAGATCTTTGAAGGCAACACTGACGACAATTTCCGTGTAGGCTTGAGTGTCTCCAAGAAAAGTCTTCGACTCTACAGTCCGTTCTATGAGTCAGACATCATCCTGGCATCTCCACTTGGTCTAAGAATGATCATAGGCTTGGAAGGGTGAGACTGAATTGATTCACAGTTTCTGATAATTTTTACATTGCATATCAATTTTATCAGTGAGATCTTACTATTCTAGCAGAGAGATGGAACAATGTTGGCTTGGCAGAGGGAGCCACAATTAACTGATGTAGAGATTTCTACATACACATTACCTACACTTCTGTAACAAAGAGTTAATTCCCTTCAATAATAGGGTAATGTTTTATTATAATTTATGATGACCTATATCATATGTTGATGTTTTACAATAATTTTGCATCACTTCTAGAGATCATGAGCGGGACTATGACTTCTTGTCGTCAATAGAAGTACTGATTATAGACCAGGCGGATATTTTTCTTATGCAAAATTGGGATCACTTTACCGTAAGTCTTTATTTTCTTGTTTTGGTGAATTGCAAACAAACAAAATTGAGACAAAAAAAATGTGTGTAAGTAAATCAAGACATGTTCAGCTTTAATTATGGTTACACAGATACAAATTGAAATGTTTCGGCAAAATGCCTTCATCAGTACAACAAAAACATTCATATAAGTAGAAACTAAATGTATGATACTGATAAAGATATTAGTCGAAACATTTGTATTTTGTGTAACTATAACTAAATCTTAACATTTATTGTTTTTTATAAGCAAATCTAGTGTGCCTCTTAATCTACTTAAAAGCTTTATCACAGTCCCATCCTAACAAAAAGCTTGACCAATGTTACAGCAGTACTGGTTGTCTTGTTATAGCAGTACTGGTTGTCTTGTTATAGCAGTTTTGGTTGTCTTGTTATACCAGTACTGGTTGTCTTGTTATAGCAGTACTGGTTGTCTTGTTATAGCAGTTTTGGTTGTCTTGTTATAGCAGTACTGGTTGTCTTGTTATAGCAGTTTTGGTTGTCTTGTTATAGCAGTTTTGGTTGTCTTGTTATACCAGTACTGGTTGTCTTGTTATATCAGTACTGGTTGTCTTGTTATAGCAGTTTTGGTTGTCGTGTTATATCAGTATTGGTTGTCTTCTTATACCAGTAATGGTTGTCTCAAGCTCTTTCTTGTTATATATTATTTAGATAAATTTCATCCTTAATTTCTCTTGTAACAGCATGTGTTCAAACATTTACATCTCCAACCAAGGGAGTCTCATGGTGTTGACTTCTCCAGAGTTCGAATGTGGTCTATCAATGGTTGGTAGGTTGTACAGTTATCTTCTATGTATATCAGAACTATTATGTGTATTAGTACTATTGTCATATATGTGTATTAGAACTATTATCATATATGTGAGAACTATTATCAAGAATATTAGAACTATTATCATGTATATGAGAACTATTATCATATGTATATTAGAACTATTATTGTATGTACATTAGAACTATTATCATGTAATTTATAACTATAATCATGTATATTAGAACTATTATTGTATGTTTATTGAAGATATCATTTAAAGACTAAATGGTTCTAGAGTATCTGAAACCTGGGGGTTTATCTCTGGTATTAGGGATGAGATAAATATTTGTGATAATTTTATCATACACAAGGTGGTCACTAACAATGTATTATACCGTAGTGAAATATGCTATAACAGACAGTGGTGAAATATACTATAACATAGTGAAATATATTACATAGAGTAGTGAAATATGCAATAACATAGGGAAATATGCGATAACAAAGAGTAGTGAAATATGATATAACATAGTGAAATATGCTTTAACATAGTGAAATATGTGATAACATAGAGTAGTGAAATATGCTATAACATAGTGAAATATGCTATGACATAGAGTAATGAAATATGCGATAACATAGTGAAATATGCTAGCCTCTTATTTACACTTCAGTTATCACCTAAGATCCGATTTATTTACTCTAATTACCCAGACCTAATTCTATCTCACTTATCTCTATTTGGATTATTTCAGGAGTAAACATTATCGCCAGACGTTGATATTCAGTAGTGTCATACTTCCTGAATTACTGACCATCTTTAATAAGCATTGTCACAGTATCCTTACAATTAATTCTGTATAGACAGGGAGTGCAACATTCCTGTCTGATCAACTATTACTTCATCTCATTCTGTAAGCCAAGTACAGTGATAAATATATCCTTATCTAAAGAAAGATTTTACTGGCAAAATTATTGTGCAAAGAGATGGCAAAGTTGGTACTATTAGATCCAGTATAACAGATTCACCCCAAGTAAATATTCATTACATTGTATTTTATTAGTTAAAGTGTATTTCATGTTTCATTAGATTAGATATACACTATAAAATATTTCATGTTTCATTAGATTAGATATACACTATAAACTATTTCATGTTTCATTAGATTAGATATACACTATAAAATATTTCATGTTTCATTAGATTAGATATACACTATAAAAAATTTCAACCGGACTTGAAGAAATAATTGGTTGTTAAAAATTGGGATAGATTTTATTTTGTATGAACACATAGTTAGTCACACACCATCTCATTGTTCTATGAACACATAGTCATTAACCATCTCATTGTTCTATGACATTAATACAGTTAAAACTAGAAATAATCCTTCCAAGGTGGTGGCAACCCATGAGTTTCCCATCTATTAAAGTTTCTAGACAAAACTTGCTTTCAAGTATAACACACTTTTAAAGAATGCCCACCAATTAGGGCTGACTTTGAGAATATTAATTTGTGTGCCTACTGAACACAGCCATACGAACATACCTAGAGAATTATCGTTTGTGCTGACACGTAGTACGTCACAAACAAAAGTATAGGATATACAATGAAAATCTTTATTTCACATAGCTGTACCATAGTTGTCATCTTTTTAACAACTTCCCTTTTGTGTAGATCTTTCATCGAGTACCTTGTGATGCTCCCGACGGCTTGTCTCAGAGGAAAGCAAAATTTGACTACTTTAAAAAGAAGGTACATTTTTGAAATGGTGGCCATTAGACTGGATGTTCCCATGTTAGAGGTGGCCATTAGACATAATGTTTTAATGTTAGAGGTGGCCATTAGATGGGATGTTTCCATGTAAGAGGTGTCCATTAGACAGGATGTTTCCATGTTAGAGATGGCCATCAGAGGGGATGTTTCCATGCAAGAGGTGTCCATTAGACAGGATTTTCCATGTAAGAGGTGTCCATTAGACAGGATGTTTCCATGCTAGAGGTGGCCATTAGATGGAATGTTTCCATGTAAGAGGTGGCCATTAGATGGGATGTTTCCATGTTAGAGGTGGCCATTAGGTAGGATGTTTCCATGTTAGAGGTGGCCATTAGATTAAATTAGTCCATGTTAGAGGTGGCCATTAGACAGGATGTTTCCATATTAGAGTTGGTCATTAGACAGGATGTTTCCATGTAAGACAGGATGTTTCCATGTTAGAGGTGGCCATTAGATTCAATTATTCCATGTTAGAGGTGGCCATTAGACAGGATGTTTCCATGTAAGACAGGATGTTTCCATGCTAGAGGTGGCCATTAGATTCAATTATTCCATGTAAGAGGTGGCCATTAGATTCAATCATTCCATGTTAGAGGTGGTCATTAGACAGGATGTCTCCATGTTAGAGGTGGCCATTAGATTCAATTATTCCATGTTAGAGGTGGCCATTAGACAGGATGTTTCCATGTTAGAGGTGGCCATTAGATGGGATGTCTCCATGTTAGAGGTTGCCATTAGATTCAATTATTCCATGTTAGAGGTGGCCATTAGACAGGATGTTTCCATGTTAGAGGTGGCCATTAGATGGGATGTTTCCATGTTAGAGGTGGCCATTAGATGGGATGTCTCCATGTTAGAGGTTGCCATTAGATTCAATTTTTCCATGTTAGAGGTGGCCATTAGACATGATGTTTCCATGTTAGAGGTGGCCATTAGATGGGATGTTTCCATGCTAGAGGTGGCCATTAGACAGGATGTTTCCATATTAGACTTTGGTAGCTGGTTTTAGTTGCTGCCACATTGAGAAAGAGTGTAAATTGTAAGAATGGGATGGATATGTGACAGCTTGAATAATTAGAGTAGAAAATATTAGGAATGAACGGGATTGCGACAGCATGTTTCAGCAGAAAGCCTTCACTAGCAAACACAACTTGACAACTACTGAGAGGCTTCACTGGCGGTGTTGTTTAAGTCCAACATAGTACCAAAGAATATTACCTAATTATAAAAAGTGTTGGACTGCGATAAAGCTTTAAAAAATTTTGCTAAAATCCCTTCCTTTACACTTTACTTTACTTTGCCTCTGTCTGTTTTTTTTTCGCCCACTCCAATTTTTTCTCCCCCTTTTTTAGGTAGGATATCTGTATCTATATATTATGTAAATTTAATTTATACTTATTTCTCTTTTTGTTGTGCTGATGAAGGCATGTGCCAAAATGTACACTTTTGTATTCTGTAAAATTATCAATAAAGCTTACCTTATATTGTTATATTAACACAAATTGTTGGTGTCTAATTAATCTACCAAAGAATATAGTAGCATGTCTGACCTTAGTCCAGCAAGTAGTGTGGTCAAAGCATCCTAGATCAGACCAGCTATCATAACCAGTAACGTTGTTGTTTTTTTTTTAAATATTCACATTTTATAGTTGAGACGTATTGGCACATTATTTACTTTGAAACTTGTGTTGTCTGCAACTTTGATAAAACTCTTGTTTCAGATAATTCCATACCATACATCAGCTGGTATCAAGCATACTTTGATTTACTGCAACTATTACAGCTTTGTTATGCTGCGCAACTACTTCAGGGAATCAGAGACTGACTTTCTATTTATGAATGAGTGAGGACATCATTGGGCTTTTTCAATTATGTGTATTACCCTAAATCCCATTAAAGTCAGATTTTGTTGACAAGGGAATTGGAACTTCTCTTTAACAATAGTTGGCCTTGCCACCCGATGCCTGCACATTAAAGAATGTTTGTCATTGTATTTATAATCATCAGTGTTGCTACAGCCCATGGATTGTATTTATAGTGAATAATTAATTCATCTTAAAAAAACAAATAAACTGTTTAGCATTTATCATTACGGTGAAACACAATTTTAATCATTTGTTCTTTTATTTATACTTAAGCCAGTTATGTAAATTTGCTTTCATTCATTACAATGCCTTCATCAGATATGACACAGAAAAACATATGAGAAATGCCAGAATTCACTTCAGAAAAAGACATCCCCACTTTATGTTATACACTGAGAGGTTGCATTTTTTCTACAGGTAAGGGTGATGAGTGAGAGTCTTGTCTTCATTTTCCATGTTTTTAGACTTTCTTACCAGGTCATTAAATTATTCTGTGCTTGTTGTAAGAATTAAAAACAATCATAATGGATATTATCTGGTTTGATATCTTGTGTAAATCTCCCAGGTTTAAACTGCGAGCCATCCATCACATCCTCTGGTTTGACCTGCCCCAGTACCCTCATTTTTACCCTGAACTTGTCAACCTGATGGAGACTTCACGTCAAGCCTGTACAACCACAGCTTTGTTTACCAAGTAAATTATTGTATTATTGTATTGGTGTCATGAATGTTTGGTAAACATACGCTTTTGGATGTCTCATCTAACTTATGAATATTTAAAATGATTCCATAAATCCTGGTTTAAGATATCTACTGTCTTGGTCACTTATCTGTCTTATAAACATTTTATCCTGGTTAGGGATATTCTCTCTTTAAGTTTTAAGCCTGTCATATATTCGCTTGAGCATCTGATAAACACTTGAGCACGTATCTTTCTTATAAAACTTGTACCCTATTCCACTCATAAAATAGTGGTTCATAAAATATATAAACCTTATATCTGTGTACAAAAGTTATGTGTACAAAATTATAACTGTACAAAAATTATACCTGTGTAAAAAAATATCTGTGTAAAGCACTTAAACAGATATTTATTTGCCTTTTTTTTTTTTTTTTTTTTAAAAACGTCCGGCTAAGATTGTTAACATGGATAGTCTGGATATTTTGATGTTATAGTTTTAGGATGTTTTGAACAATAAAAATGGTATTTGCATTACAGATATGATGCCCAAAAGTTGATAGAGATCACAGGCAAGCAGCAGGCAGGTCATTTGTTGAACTCTGAGAAATCTGTCAACATGATTACCATGTCATGAGACCACATCATTGATGTCTTAACAGCAATACAGTGAGACCACATCATTGATGTCTTAACAGCGACACCGTGAGACCACATCATTGATGTCTTAACAGCAACACCGTGAGACCACATCAATGATGCTTTAACAAATTACTAATTCACACACTTGAAGTAAAAGTGATGAGAAATCAAACTGTCAAATGTACATAAAGAGATGAAGACTTGGTACACATAAAATATATAATAAACAATTTGTCTTGTCAACTCTGCTAAATTTGTCTTAAAATTGTAGCAGTTGAAAACATATATAAAACTAACATAGCAGCAAACATATATAATACTAGCATAGCAGTACATAAACACATAATACTGGCACAGCAGTAAACCCATAATGCTAGCACAGCAGTTAACATAGAATACTACCATAGCAGCAAATTCAGAATGATTATGTGAAAGAATAAATTCAGCTCTTATTATTAAGCATGTATATTTTCTTACTCTGAACTATAAAAATACTGATAAATGAGCTAATAATTTTTTTTATTATTGTATTTCTTTAATGTAGTTTTTAAATATTTAAAGTAAAATATTAGTCCACTTACACAAGTAAAATATTACTCCATGTGTCATATGCATAAAGCAAGATTTTCCAATCGTGTCTTGTGCAGAGAGCAGGGAGGACCCTAAATATTTTCTTAGCAGCAGATTTAATTTCATAAAAGGGCCCTTCACTAATAGTTGCCAACCCCTATACTAGCACGTAACTTTTGATATCGAAAAGTTATTAATTTATTTTTTAAAAATTAAAATGCTCTGTTTTTCTCGTCGCTCCAAATTAATTTTAATTTTAAAAATTGGTGTTAAGTGTGTTACAGCCTATGTAATTATTCATAACACAGCCACCCATTGGCCTTGATGGATATTTCCAAACAAAATGTTGATGCTTTAACCACATATTTCCTTGAATGTTTTCCTTTACAAACAAACCATAAACCAATAGTCAGTCTTAATTATGACGTTAAAAAGTACAATACTCTCTTACTCAGTATGTTGCTGTTTACAAATAAAAAAAACAAAAAGCATTTTTTAAATCTAATTTTTCAAAGACTAACTTCACTTAGTCAAATAGTGTTGTATCTCCCAGCTGGCATACCACCAACTTGTCAATGATGGATCCTATAATGAGTTTGTTGTTGTAGACAGCTGCAATAGTAGAGCCAGTGATGAGGTCACCATGATCATAGAACAGTTGTGTTATGTCATCCAACACCGCTTTACCATCTGCTAGTGGGACATAAAGAACCTGAGGAACACCAGTTAAGTTAAACCATTTGATTATACTATTGGGACGTAGAGAACCTGTAGAACAAGAATTAAGCAGTGTTGTATTGATAGGAGTTGAGTGTTGGATAATTATTATTTAAACAAAAGTCACTGAATAGAGTTCTTCAGAAGGAATAGATAGATACAGATGTTATATTATGTTAGGCCATTTAGTTAGAAACTTTTAAAACTCGAGTGTTTGTCAAGGATAAATAAGTCTGAATAGTTCTTCATTAAGGCCTGTAACTGAAAGAACTGTTGCATCCAATCAATGTTTAAAATACTACGTATCCAAGTTATTTACTGTTTTTTATTTTAACTTGTGATTACTTTTTAATGAATATAATAATATATAGTTAATACCACTTTACCGATGATGGAGCTCGACTTAATGGGTCATCAAGGTGTTGTATAATTTGATAAGTAATCGGGTGAATGCCAATGAACAAGCCATTTCCAGAAGTGGACAGGTGAGAATTATCTGGGGCACTAAACAAGGGCACTGTCTGGACCAGGTCAAGTTGGTTATCTCTTGTACGCTCATAGACTTGCATGTATCCACGCAATGGAAAATTCACATAAAGATATCTAAGGGAACAAAGGTGATGACATTTTGTAAGTAAATGATAGGATGTCCAGTGCTTTTGGGGAAATTAAAGGAAATATCTTTTATGAAACAATGATGCGAAAATAGTTCATTAAATAGTCAATAAAATAGTTCATTAGATAGTCAATAAAATAGTTCATTAAACAGTCAATTCCTTTCATAAACGCTTTAACAGAAATAAGGAGGCCACTGTTGAACAGTACCGGTAGTTGCAGATTGCTAAATGTAGTAAAATCTTGTTGGTATATCTGTTGCCTATCACTTAAACTTAAATGCTCCCCAATATTTGCAAAGAAAATCATGAAAAAGAAAACTGGTAGATAATTTTAAAAATATGAAGCGGACATCCACAAAGAATATAACTCGTGTTCATTTTAGTAAAAAGGAGTAAATATTTGATAATTATTTGACTCTATTTAATTAAACATAAAACTTAAAGCTTTAGATACAAGAATGTATAGACTGATATCTAGCCTTGTATTTTTTTTTTATTGTTTACCCTGATTAGTATTAAAATATTTAAAATAAATTGGAAATGATTACCGTAATTAATTATTTTTTATTATTTAAAGAAAAATACATATCTGATGATATTGTAAAATTTAAAATTGTCAGAAAAATCTCCGCCATTTGTGTCTGGTGAATGCCAGCTGTTACTCCTTAGACAGAACAAATGAATTAAAAATTCAGACTCAATAAGCTACTAATTTATGTTAATGGTGTAACGAGAAGTTCCGTTAAAAAATTCTTTGTTAAAAAAAATTTAAATACCTGCCATCTCTTGACAAAGTGACACCATTAGGACCTTGAAGATTGGTCAAAGATTCAACATAATCTGTTCCATTGAAATAAACAACAGTTGCAAACTTTAAAATTCCCAAGTTCTCTAAAGTGGTGAGAATTGAAGTGGTGTAGTAGAAATAGTTGCTTATGAAGAATTTGTCCTCTTCCAAGACGGCCAGGTCGTTGGTCCCACGGAAGGTTTCGCTAGAAAAACTCTTGAGATGAAATAGTTCTTGATTGTGCGGCAGGTAACGAAACTTCTCGACTCTGTCGGCTTCTTGGTCTGGATGATTGATCACGTAAACAAGATGTTGACCATTGACCTTGTCTTCAAGGACACTGATGCCATGGGGCCGAAATGTGTCTGGATTGAAAAGCTTAGTGGGGCTGATCTTTAGCTTGGTCACTTCCAAGTCCGGTTTATTAAAGTCAAATAAAACAATCTGACCTTTGACATCATTGGCCGAGAGGAACTCCTTGAATTTTTGGGAGCTGACTTGAAACGAAAAGCCACTTGTGATGAAAGCAAGTCCATCACTGGTCACTTGAAGATCCTCAGATCCAAATTCCACTCCTTTCACCTGACTGAAAAATATCAAAACAATATTTTTATACCGTAATGCAAAATGGATGTTCTAGAAAGCAAATGTTGATGCATACCTTACAGGTATAACAGAATGAACATGTAAGTGTAAGGAGGTGGCCTATGCAGTTGCCCAGTGGTATAACTGGTATCAATTGAAGAGCCTCATTTTGAAATTACATATACGCCTTGTGCCTGCAGCCTTACTTTCTTGCATCTTCAAATGTAAAACTACAACCTTATGACTTGTGTCTGCATATTTTCAACAGCAACCTTATGTATTGTTTCTGCACTCTTTCATCTGCAACCTTACATTATTTTGTAAAACCTTTCATATTAAACCTTTAGTCTTGTGTCTGCAACCTTACATTTTTACATAGTGTGTCAGCAACCTTATGAAAGGTTCCAAACTTCAATGCACAAACTACAAATACAAAAAAATTTCTCTATTAAACTTTACATACAAAATATTGATAAACTAATTGCCAAAAGACTGCGTACAACCGTACTTGGTGACCACCAATGTGGATTCAGACAAAACAAATCAACGACTGATCAGATTTCACTATCAGACGCCTATTAGAGAAATGCTACGAATACAATATCCCAGTACCGGTACATCAACTCTATGGGGAATATAAAATGGCCTGTGACAGCATCAAAAAACATATCTATATGAATATAAGACTCTGCAGGAGTTTGGCATACCGTACCAAACAAACCAACTCAAAAAGCAACACCAAGGTTCAGGGAGAATATTCTGGACGTTTCAGATTAGACGAGACCTAAGACAAGGTGACTCACTGTCGTGTATGCTCTCTTTAACATAACATTAGAGAGAGAGAGAGTTCCGTTATAAGAAACATACATATTGACTGACACCCGAGGAGCAATAACAGGATAATTTCTGAGGGAAACCCAAGACCTACAACCAATGGACACTCTCAACAATCAACGTCTTCAGTATCTTGCATATGCTGATGACATAGCACTGTTAGGGAAAAGTAGTAATGACATATCAAAAGCTTTTATTGAATTAGCAGACGCATCACCACAAGTATGACTGGAAATTAACCACCAAAAAACGTATGTTAAGCAAAGAACAGACAGATGAAACCATTCGAATTAGAAACTACACTTTTGAAAAAGTAAATCAATCCAAATATATAGGATCCTAAATAAATGGAAGAAAAAAATTACTAACAGAAATAAATTATGTCAGTCAGAAAAGTGGAAAACTTCAGGATTCAGAAAATACTCAAAAGTAAAAACATTACAAAAAAAACAGAGAAAACTATTTATAAAACTGTAATGAGACCAGTTGTAGCATATGCAAGCATGGGCGTCCGCAGAAAACTTTCTGGGGGGGGGGGGGGCAAAAAAAATCGATTAACTTTCCAGGGGGGGGCAAAAAATTTTTAGTAATGTTTTAATATAGTTTCATGTAGCGTATTTGTATGGTGAACGAACGGACNTTTTTGGCAAAAAAAATTTTTACCAATCAAACCAGGGGGGGGGGGGGGCAAGTGCCCCCCCCTGCTGGCGCCCATGTATGCAAGTGAAAATCGGACCCTGACGTACTGACAAGAACGGCAGAAAACCTATGAACACATGGGTGAGAAAAGGTCTCCAGAAAAAGGATGAATATTGTTGGAGAAAAGGGATTTATGGACGTTTGCAAAAGGAGCATGAGGGAAGCCAATGTTGAAAACAAGCAATGGGAGCTCATTGCCGAACAACGTTCCAGCTGGCGAACAACAATGTATGAAGGAGTAAAAAAAAAGGCAGAAGATACGCGAAACGAGGCCCTTGCAACAAAAAGAAAAATACGGAAGTCAAGATCTTACCAGGAATCAATATTCTCCTGCGAGAGGTGCGGCCGTGATTGTCATTCTAAGATTGGCCTAGTGAGCCACTCGTCGAAATGTAGGACTACATAGCTATCCCATCGTCTCGCGAAGACGGAAGGATGCCATAGATACATATATAACATAAAACTATGTTTACCTGCATTTTCCAGGGTAATGTTTATGATAGTGTAGATGGAAGCCCATTCTCCATACTACGTCCAGGAGGGAGTAAAGAGAGATGGCCAAAGTAGCAACTAACAACGCTTTCAATATCATGGTTACGGTCAGGTCTTCGGTGTGGTCTTCTGTGTGGAAGTCTGTGGAACAATTTAGACGTTTGAGGCAGGGAATTATCTGTAGAATAATAATTATTAGACATCTGAGGCTGAGAATTTCAAGAAGAGCTAATTTTCACTCCCACAAATAATTCCTAACAAAATATACAAGTTATACATACCCAGATTTCACTTACGGCTGACTTTAACATTTTACCACCCTGACTTCAGCTATTCCACTCTATTAATGTCAATGTAAATAGAGTTGTCATGACATGCACTACTTGTTACCGGTATACAACTTTCTATTAAAGTAGGTCATCTTTCTCTCTCTCTCTCTCTCTCTCTCTCTCTATATATATATATATATATATATATATATAGGCTCACAGCAATCGAATCGGAACCATGGGGGGGGGGGGGGGGGTTCTTGACTTTTTTTTGGGCACCCCCAACCAAAATAAAATAAATTCCTATGTACAAGAAGCTCTTAGCTCTCGTCCCCATATAAACACCAAAGAAATAAAATAATTTAATAGATAATTATGACGCCACAGAAATAACAAAAAAAATGTGTCGCAGGCCGTAGGTTTATACTGGTTACAGTTGGACCAGCCCAGTGGTCCCCATAATATGCGTCGCTCTGGGTGCCATGTTGCCCTCCGGCAGAGCCATGAAAATGGGGCAAAGAGGGCAGTCTCAGTGGGCGCCAAAATCTTTTTCTTAGATAGGATCTTATGTGAATTAAAATATCAAATCCCATATACTCCAGAAAGACGAGGGGGGTCAAAAATCGTCTTTTTTACTGATCCGCCCCAGGTCCACTTTTTCTATGTATTATGTGGCACCATTTTCCGGTTTCGCCCCGGGTGCAGCATTTCCTCCGCAGCGAACAAACAAGAAACAAGAGTCAAAACAGAATCAAATAAAAATAGGACATAACTGAAAAATAGTATACGAAACTACCGAGAGGCCAGCAAAAGAATAGTGAAAACCTAAATTTGGTATAAGCGCCGGGAATCGAAACATTGTAGGAACCACTGAACTAACCAAACGTAGCTAGGCCTACGGTGGACGGAATATTACTGTAATACTGCTACTAGTTAGTACGGTGCTATTGAAGCGATATCTAGCTTAGACCATTTGTGAAAAGAAATGGTAACATTATGACTTTAATTCCTACACAATATTGTGTGATATTTTTACAACATTGGAGAAATATGCTATATTTTTACTATTCACTGCGCTTGCCTTTGCGGAGAAATTGGATAAGACAAATAGAGATAAGAAAAGCAAGTCGTCGCTGCTTGAAGTACGGCCAAGCCGGACGACAAGAGGAAATTACGGACAAATGCGGACGCAAAATTAGTACGGACAAGGGGGTCGAAAATACAAACTGTCCGTACTAAACACGGACGTCTGGTAAACCTATATAATGACAATTAAATTGTAAAAATAAGTTTACTTACAACACTGAACCCTGCTAAAACAAACAATTTGAGTTTGATGATCGTTCCCAGCTCAGTGTGAACCCGGCTTGATAGTTCCCAGCTCAGTGTGTTACCGGCTTGTTGATAGTTCCCAGCTCAGCGTGTTACCGGCTTGATAGTTCCCAGCACAATGTGTTACCGGCTTGATAGTGCCCAGCTCAGCGTGTTACCGGCTTGATAGTTCCCAGCTCAGCGTGTTACCGGCTTGATAGTTCCCAGCTCAGTGTGTTACCGACATGTTGATAGTTCCCAGCTCAGTGTGTTACCGACATGTTGATAGTTCCCAGCTCAGCGTGTTACCGGCTTGTTGATAGTTCCCAGCACAGTGTGTTACAGGCTTGTTGATAGTTCCCAGCTCAGCGTGTTACCGGCTTGTTGATAGTTCCCAGCTCAGTGTGTTACCGACATGTTGATAGTTCCCAGCTCAGTGTGTTACCGGCTTGATAGTTCCCAGCACAATGTGTTACCGGCTTGGTGATAGTCACCAACTCATTGTGTTACAGGCTTATCTCTAGATAGTAGGCCTAATCTACTTGAGCTACTGGAGGTATCTGGTATGAAGCTGATAATGAGGGGGAAGGGTGCAGCTTTTTGTTTGCACATTTTGTTTGGATAAGAACAAAATAATTGTTTTATTTTATTTTTCCAGAGTTGATGCAATTATTCAACTGAGGAGAATTCAACTGAGGAGAACTCAACTCAGGAGAACTCAACGCAGGAGAACTCAACTCAGGAGAACTCAACTGAGGAGAACTCAACTCAGGAGAACTCAACGCAGGAGAACTCAACTCAGGAGAACTCAACTCAGGAGAACTCAACTCAGGAGAACTCAACTCAGGAGAACTCAACTCATGAGAACTCAACCCAGGAGAACTCAACTGAGGAGAACTCAACTCAGGAGAACTCAACTCAGGAGAACTCAATTGAGGAGAACTCAACTCAGGAGAACTCAACTCAGGAGAACTCAACTGAGGAGAACTCAACTCAGGAGAACTCAACTCAGGAGAACTCAACTCAGGAGAACTCAACTCAGGAGAACTCAACTCAGGAGAACTCAACTCAGGAGAACTCAACTCAGGAGAACTCAACTCAGGAGAACTCAATTGAGGAGAACTCAACTCAGGAGAACTCAACTGAGGAGAACTCAACTCAGGAGAACTCAACTCAGGAGAACTCAACTCAGGAGAACTCAACTCAGGAGAACTCAACTCAGGAGAACCAAACTTTTGAAAGGAGGACATTTCATTAATAAACTAAGTTTAAGATATGGATATTTATTCTAATAAACAAATAACTACACTACTAAAGTAAGTTTCATACACACATTTGGCATTTCAACATACATCTCGGAGCTGGCTATATTTTACAAAAGATCGTTATTTCTTTAGAGGTAAGCCTAACTATAAAAAAATAAATCATGTGAGTACCACATCAAGTCTATTCCGCTCCTTGGTCCACTGAGAATTTATCTGTGAAAAAAAAACTTCTCCATGTTTGCATTATGAGCAGGAATAAGACAATAAAATTCACAAGTTTTCAGTAATTTTGAAAAAAAATGAGTACCAGGACAAGATTGGAAAAATAATAATAATAATAAGAGGTCTTATATAGCGCGGTACCCCAGCCTAGGGCTGGGCTCACCGCGCTGTACATAAAAAATTTTATCAAAAGAAACATAATCATGACATTAAAATAAAATACCGCCCATTATTCATGCAGCCAATGTCCCCCAAGAGCTAAATCCCGTTGTCTTCAGATTTGCCGAATGACTTTAGGTTACAAAATTGGTCATACGGTGTCACATCATTAATGAGGACACCACTCTTATAATAACTAAATACAAGGAATCCCATCCTCACATTTGCACTGATTTAATATTTGTTTTCTCCAAGTATCCTCCAACCAAAACAAAGTTATTTGAACTCACACAATTGTTGGACCAATTTTTTCTAAGTATTCAAGAGCTGCTTTATAAAAATATTGAAATTTGTCATATTAAATACGTCCTATAGTGTGCCCTATAATATGTCCTGTTCTTCTTACTTCGAACTATTGATTTGAAGAACAAGATGTTCTTTCACGTTTAAAGGCTCACGTTTTTCTCCAGTTCTGTTAATAGTAATTCTGGCAATATTCATTCTAAGAAGTTCAAAATGTTCAGTTCTCTTCTTGCTATCATGATGCCCAGTTGGCTTGACAAAGACATTGCTCAATATCATGATGCCCAGTTGGCTTGACAAAGACAGTGCTCAATATCATGATGCCCAGTTGGCTTGACATAGACAGTGCTCAATATCATGATGCCCAGTTGGCTTGACATAGACAGTGCTCAATATCATGATGCCCAGTTGGCTTGACATAGACAGTGCTCAATAAATTGTATTTACGTGAAACGAAAGGTGAAACACTAATTTTATTTTACGCTGCACAAAAAATATCCAATAGGAGGACACTTTAAAGGTTAAATAAGGATATTATACAGTTAAAGGGGGACACTTTAAGGTTAAAGGAGGATATGTTAAGGTTAAAAGAGAACATTTTAAGGTTAAAGGGGGACATTTTAAGGTTAAAGGGGGACATTTTAAGGTTAAAGGGGGACATTTTAAGGTTAAAGGGGGGCATTATAAGGTTAAAGGGGGACATTTTAAGGTTAAAGGGGGACATTTTAAGGTTAAAGGGGGACATTTTAAGTTAATGGAGGACATTTTTCTAACCCTAAACAGAAGGAATGACCTCCTTTTGGATATCATAAGGACACCCTAATCTATGCTAGATAAAATATGAAGTGGACCGAAAATCCTAACCCCACCCCCAATAGCGTACCACCCATGGTGGACCTTCCCCTCTAACCAAGCCAGTGTTTCTAATAACTAAATGTGTGGCCCCATAAGTCTTTATTCTGATAAGGATTAAATGAAATATAATTTCAGAAACTTATATTTAGATTTACGTTGGATGACCTAGATTCAAAATGTTCAACTGTTGTGTTCAACTAATGTGTCGTGTTCAACTAATGTATCGTGTTCAACTTATGTATTGTGTTCAACTTATGTATTGTGTTCAACTAATGTAATGTGCTCAACTAATGTATTGTGTTTAAATACTGTATTTTGTTAAACTAATGTATCGTGTTCAAATAATGTATCGTGTTCCACTAATGTATTGCGTTCAACTAATTAACGTGTGTTCAGCTAATGTATCGTGTTCAACTAATGTATTGCGTTCAACTAATGTATTGTGTTCAACTAAGGAATTGTGTTCAAATAATGTTTTGTTTTCAACTAATGTGTTGTGTTCAACTAGTGCAGGCCTGTACAACTCAAAATGTAAGGCGGGCCGTAATACTTCATGAAAAACTTGGGCGTGCTAAAAGAAAATAGGACAAGACTTGTGCGAGCCAAAAAAAATAAAATAAATAATAATAATAAAGCGGAGGAAAGTTATTAAGAAAATAAAAATAATAAAGAATATTTCGCTACTTCGCGGGACGCAAAGTGGATGCTGGCGGGCCGCATGCGGCCCGCGAACCGTATGTTGGGCAGGCCTGAACTAATGTATTTTCATCAGCTAATGTGTTGTGATCAATTAATGTAATGTTTTAAACTGGAATAACCCTTCTATCGATCTATTAGGAGTGTTTGGCGATATGAAAACATTATTTTAGAACCGTTGATGTTGACCTTAATCTTATGACATTTACACACAAGAGTTGCGTGGGAAAATGCATCTTATAACGACTATCTCGTTGGATTCATCATTCAAGTTTTGAAGTTCAAGGTCACATCGTAGAGCGTTGAACAAGCGAAGCACATACCAGAGTCTACGACCTGACACGGGAACTAAACAATATCAGGTACCAATATGACTTGTGTGTTAAATCTGTTTGATAATATGACGTGTGTTCTAAATCTGTTTGATTATATGACTTATGTCCTAAATATGTTTAATACCGGTAATATGACATATGTGCTAAATATTTTTAATAATATGACTTATGTGCTAAATATCTTTAATAATATGACATGTTAAGCTGTTTACTTATTTGATCGGATTTCTTGTATATATGAAAAGGTGGAACAATTAGATACTTTGCAAAATGGCATTCCCTTTATTGCTATTTATTTCAAACATTCCCCTTACCGTACTGCTCTCTCAGATTCAACATTTCAGACAAGTGTTAGTTTGAAATTTTCATTTTTGAGTTACTCTTTGTTTGTGCGATTCACTTAAGAAGGCTTCGTGTCGATACTTTTGTTGTTTTTTTGCGTCCCATTTCCGCTACCCCACCGAGTTTAACACATAATGTCCTTCTACCCTAACCCATTGTAGTGGCTCACTCCAATCCCTATTGTTATAATTTAATTTGAGGCTGGGCTAAGGCTGAGAATGGTCTGAGGCTGGTGTGTGGTCTGAGGCTGAGATTGGTCTGAGGCTGGAGTGTGGTCTGAGGCTGAGATTGGTCTGAGGCTGGAGTGTGGTCTGAGGCTGAGATTGGTCTGCGCGGAGTTGGCCTGAAGCTGGAATTGTCTGCGGCTGATACTTGTCTGAGTCTGGCCTGAGACTTAAGCTGACAAATTTCTATCCAGTGATTACAGTTAGAAAAACAAACCTGACTCCATTACATTATAATTTAATTCAACTGCTTTCCCATTACAAAGTGTATGTCACAGTTTTATTGTGGCGGATACAACTTTGAGTTTCTATTGTTGCAGTTACAGACACCGCCAACACCATGCTACTGAAGGCAGTCCTGGCAGCCATTGTAGCCACTCTTCTGTATATCGCTGGTAACATCACGTTGAAATTTGGCTACCACCTGCATTACTTCAAACACCACCCAGGTAAATGTAGGTAAGCCTTAGCAATGTTGGCTACCACCTCCATTACTTCAAACACCACCCAGGTAAATGTAGGTAAGCATTAGCAATGTTGGCTACCACCTGCATTACTTCAAACACCACCCAGGTAAATGTAGGTAAGCATTAGCAAGGTTGGCTACCACCTGCATTACTTCAAACACCACCCAGGTAAATGTAGGTAAGCATTAGCAATGTTGGCTACCACCTGCATTACTTCAAACACCACCCAGGTAAATGTAGGTAAGCATTAGCAATGTTGGCTACCACCTGCATTACTTCAAACACCACCCAGGTAAATGTAGGTAAGCATTAGCAAGGTGGCCTTAAGTAGGTATCTTTTTACTTTATTATGCTTACCTACACATGAGCTCTTGACATCCTATATCTAGCTGTTGACATCCCATACCTAGCTGTTGACATCCCATACCTAGCTGTTGACATCCCATACCTAGATGTTGACATCCCGTACCTAGATGTTGACATCCCATACCTAGCTGTTGACATCCCATACCTAGCTGTTGACATCCCTTACCTAGCTGTTGACATCCCATACCTAGATGTTGACATCCCATACCTAGCTGTTGACATCCCATACCTAGCTGTTGACATCTTATA